GGCCCTCGGGGTCCCCGCGAGCGCTCCGGAGCGAGCCGCCGGCCGGGTCAGGCGTGAGGACCGAGCGCGAGGGCGCCGGCCGAGCGGCAGTCGGGTCGCGGAGGGCCCCCCGCGGGTTCACGTAACGCCCGACGCGTCACTTCAGGGGTCCTGAGAACCAGGTACACTCACCTGTGTGTAAGTGCGTGTCGGAAAGCAGCCTTTGCGGTCTGCGAGGGACGCCCATCCTTTCCTCTCTCGATGCATTAGACTGTGCTGGTTGGCAAAAAAAATAAATAAATAAAATTAAGTTTGCGTGTAAAGGGTCTTTATATAATGTACAACTGCACGCTCTTAATTATTGGCCCCGGAATTACGCTTTTCTTACTTTTTTCTTTATCCTTTGCATGGCTTTTATTGGCTAAAACGTGTTTAAAGAAGTGATAAAAGAATTACGCTTTTCTAAGATCGTAATTGTTTTAGTAGTGTTTTATAGAGTAGTGCCGGAGTTACTCTATCACAAGAGTTAGACTGTTAAAGTCTGCTTTCACTTTTGCCTTTTAAATTTCATTTTAAAAATTAATCACATAGAAAAATTGACATTTTTGCGATGTGCACTTACGTGAATTTTAGAATCAGGGCAGCCACCACTTTAATCAGAATGTAAAACAGTTCTGTCAGCCACAAAAAACTCAGCGTTATCCTTTGGTACACAGCCTTATTCCAAAACCCTTGCAGTTAGCGGTCCTTTCCGTAACGTCTTTTCAATGGGATCCTAACACTAGGAAAGCTTTGATGCCGGCTGCTTTCTCTTTCCTAATGCTTTTGTTCTTTCTCCAAGTTGTTTCACTTACGGATAATTTCTTTTTCTTTTTCTTTTCTTTCTTTCTTTTTTTTTTTTTCTTTTCTACTGTAAAGTAGCATCTCATTAGAAGGATGCGCAACACCCATGTAGCCATTTTTCCACCCATTGAAGGACATTTGGGTGGTTTTCAATTTTAGACACTTATGAATACAGCTGCCGTATAAATGCAGTACAGTATAAAATCTATGATACAGTACAGATTTTGGTGTTAACTTTGGTGCTGCGTGTGAGCTTTCTAGTTTACATTTGGAAGATATATAGTTAATTCTTTTTTTTTTTTTTTTGCGGAACTGGGGATTGAACTCAGGCCCTTGTGCTTGCCAGGGAAGCACTTATTCTACTGAGCCATCTCCCCAGCCCCTTAATTCTTAAAAAAACTGTCAAAACTTTTCCAGAGTGGCTGTCATTTTGTACTCCCACCAGCAACAGGAGAGTTCCCGTTGCTCTGCATTCTCCCCACCACTTGGTGTTGTCAACTTTTATTCTTTTTTAATTTAGCCATCCTGTTGGATGTATAATAGTATCTTGTGCCTTTAATCATAAAAGGTGTTGAAGTTCTTTTTCATATTTTGTTTTGTTTGTGATACTGGGTATTGAACTCCAGACCTGCTGCTTGCCAGGCAGGTGTTTATGCCTCTGAGACATATTCCTAGCCCTTTGGTGAGGTATGTTTTGGCTACAAATTAAATGTTAAGATGTGCATTCTGCCAATATTTTCTCCTAGTCTGTAGCTTGTCTTTTCATTGTCTTAATAGTATCTCTCAGACACCAAGTGTTTGTGATTTTTGATGAACTTTAGCTTAGCGATTTTCCCCTTTTGTGTATTTTTGGAATCATGTCTGAGAACTCTGTTTATCTCAGGTCAAGATTTTCTCTTTCTAAAAATGTGTTTTGTAAAAGTTACAGTTTTATGTTTAGATCTGTGATCAATTTTGGTTTAAAGGGGCTGGGGAGATGGCTCAGTGGAATAAGCGCTTCCCTGGCAAGCACAAGGGTCTGAGTTCAATCCCCGGTTCTGCCAAAAAATAAATAAATAAATAATTTTTTTGGTTTAAATGTATAAGATGTGACATTTAGGTGGTTTTACTTTTTGTGCATATAAACATTCAGTTATTCCATTACCATTTGTCCTTTCTCCATTAAATTGCTGTCACACCTCTGTTAAAATCAATTTTCAGGGGCCAGGGAGATGGCTCAGTAGGATAAGCGCTTGACTGGCAAATGCAAGGATCTGAGTTCAATCCCTGGTTCCACAAAAAAAAAAAAAAAAAAAAAAAAAATCAATTTTCATATTTATATGGATCTACTTTGAGCTCTTCTTTTCTGTTGTATAGATTTATATGTCTTTCCCTTTGCCAGTTATACAATTTTGACTGATTTGGCTTTAAAATGTCTTAAAATTGAGGAGTATAATTTCCTCCAATTTTATTTCTTCCTCATAACGGTTTTACCTATTCTAGTTCGCTTGCATTTCCATGTAAAATTTAGTCAGTTTGTCCACACACAAAAATTCTGCTGGTACTTTGATTTGAATTGCATTGCATGAAGCACTTGGAAGAATCGGAGAGGAATGCTTGATTTACCTGTTTGGTTTTTTTTTTGTTTTTGTTTTTTTTTTTTTTGCGGAACTGGGGATTGAACTCAGGCCCTTGCACTTACCAGGAAAGCGCTTTTATTCTACTGAGCCATCTCCCCAGCCCCTTGATTGACTTTGTAGAATTTTCCAATTCATAGTCTATTTAGGTGTGTGATTAGTTTCATTAGTGTTGGTAGTCAGTGATTTGGTATTGTGCTAGAGAGTCTGTTGCTGAGTTCACAGCAGAATGTCCTCTTAGGAGGAGGAGGGGCCTGGTGGCAAACAATAATGGGGAGTAACCTGGAAAGATTTTTTGTTGTTGTTTTTTTGTTTTTAAATTTATGTATTTAGTACAAGGTCTCACTACACAGATTGGACTTGTAGTGACCCTCCTGTTTTCAGGCTCCCCAGTGCTGGGATTATAGGCGAGCGCCACCACGCCCGGTCTCAGTGGCCGACTCAGTGCACCCGGGGTGGTGCCCAGGATTTAACTCTGTCCCTGTGCGTGCCTAAGCAGGCGCTTAGTGAAAGGTGTGTTCTTGTCCTGGCTCCTGCCTTCTGGTTCCTGGTGCTGTGGGGGGAGCAGCTTTCCCGGCATGCCCTTCTGCCCTGCAGTTGCTATCTTGGACTCAACCCCTGAAACTGTGAGCCGAGTAGCCGACCTTGAATTCATGGGTGTTAGGTATTTTGTCCCATCAGTAGGAGAGTGATTAACACAGCAGTTTTTCAGAACTACAAATGATGTTAATTCTAGGTTGTGGGTGACAAATGCCCTTGATCAATTTGAAGAAGTCTTACTCTATTTGTGGTTTCTGAGATTTTTTGCCCTTCACAAATAATTATTAAATTTGATTAAGTATTTCCTCTGTTTCACAGTTAAACTGTGATTCCTTATTAACGCGGTGAATTATATGGATCGATTTTCAGTCACTGAACCAGCCTTACGTTCTCTGAGTGAAGTTCACTCGGTTGTGGTATATTGTTTTTTAAATATTCTGAACTAAGTTCATTAATATTTTTGGGGAAGTTTTACATCTTTGTTCATAAAGGTTATTTGTCTAGCATTTTAATTTGATAGGGAGTCACAGCTCAAAGAGGAATCTCACACTGGTCAGAAAAGGCCCTGATTGTAGTTATCCTGCTGGTTTAGTGTTTGCCAAAATAACACAGCCTCAGAAGGAGTGGGCACTGATGCTGTGGCAGCGAAAGATTGCCAGAGAGCATCTCTTTTGAAGGAGAGCTAAGCTGCACACTTCTATTTTGCTTATTTATATATTTAATTTATTTAATTTTTTGAGATGGGATCTTGCTTTGTAGCTCGAGCTGGCACTGAACTGTCAATCCTTCTATCTGAGACTCAAGAGCTAGGATTAAGGCATGTACCACCACACTCAGCTTCTGTACTTGTTCTTGAAATTGAATCCCAAAGCCCTTTCTGTGAGATTTTGTATACTCTGAGCTGGAAACCCAGAACCCAAACTTTAATGAAGGCTCCTAGATTAATTTTGTGATCATGCAGGGTCCTCACCCCCACCCCCCACCCCACCCCTGGTACTGGGGATTGAACTCAGGACTTTATGCATGCCAGGCAAACACTTATTCTACTGACCTGTCTCCCCAGCCCTGAGCTATTTCCCCAGCCTGATCATACAAGTCTCTGAATTTCTAGGGGCAATTGATGAGAGCCTGTAGAGAACAAAGAAAGGAAAATTATTCATATTTCAGACTCCCTCTGCATAGTGATTGTATAAGTAAGTTTTCAGTAAGGTAGGTGTAATAGCTAAACAGGTGGGAGTAATTTTAAGAACAAATACGAAGAAATTGACTTTCTTTTCTTTCCGTCTAAAATGCAAAGAGTGCACATTCTGTTTCATTGTATGAGTAATTTTATAGTGTGAAACTAAAGAATATATGGTATAAGATTATTTGTACAAGATTTATTGCAAGCTGAACACAAATTGTAACTAAGGGCTCAGTGTTGACACATAGTTATGTATATTTGTAATTATTTTGTACAGGCTCTCACTGTCTCACTACACAGCTCGTAGTGATCCTGCTGGTTTCAGCCTCCCCAGTGCTGCAATTACAGGTGTGCACCTCCATGAGGGGTGGGGCTGGTGCAGCATGCAGTACTAGAATCGAACCCTCATCCTTGTGCTTGCGCCTAAGCAGGTGCTTAGTCCATTGATCTATCTCTCCAGCCCTAGTTGCATATTATTATGCAAAACTTTCTTTGATCCACTTTTCAGAAGATACTAAGTATTACAAGGTTGAAAAAGTGTTTTTCAGATTTTATATTTGTTGCCTGCTTGGTGATACATTGTGAGAACCTTGCTGTGTAACATAAAACTTCTAATTTTTGCAAGATTATTTTCAACTGTGAAAAGTTCTTTATATGTGTGAACAAACCTGTGATGTAGATACTGTTGCCAGGATACTAGCAAAGGTGAAGCAATAGGTCCTCAGAGAACAGAACTAGGAAGTGGCTTCAGCTATACTTTCTATGGTCTTCGTCTCTGTGGAAGGGAAAGCTTAGCAGATACAGGCATTTATTGGAACATGAGTATCATGTTTCATGCTACTGATAAAGTATTAAGATTTAAAGTTCAAAAACTACATAGGCTGAAAGAGGTTGGCCTCAGTCCTGGAAACAATTTTTTTTCAGTATTTATTTATTTGTTTGGAAACAAATTCTTGCAATGCAATATTTCTTGACAAAACAGTTGTAGTTTATACAGTTTTTGTGTTTTGAAAAATAATTTCATCTTAAATCACAGATGTGAGAGAAGATCCAACACCTGGCATTCAAGTAGGTAAAGAAACCATTTCTACTTCAAAATGTTGGAGGAAGATATGGAAGTGGCCATCAAGATGGTGGTTGTCGGGAATGGAGCAGTTGGGAAATCAAGCATGATTCAGAGATACTGCAAAGGCGTTTTTACAAAAGACTACAAGAAAACCATTGGAGTTGACTTTTTGGAGCGACAAATACAGTATGTACTTGGCTCTTTGATTCCTTTGGTTCTGATTTGTGAACTATATCTAAGACTTTATTGCAATAGCAGTGTTTGTAATTGCAGCAGTTAGGCAAGCATTTTTAATTAACTACAAGGGGCCGGGGAGATGGCTCAGTGGAATAAGCACTTCCCTGGCAAGCGCAAGGGCCTGAGTTTGATCCCTGGTTCCGCAAAAAAAAAAAAAAAAGGTAAATTTAATTAACTAC